TTTTGCATCTTGCCTGCAAACTCCCAAAGCCTGGCACACAGTGGGCACTTGATAAAAATGTTACTGGAAGCACACTCATTGACACACCACATAATAGCCTGCCAAAAAGCGAGGCGGATTTCCAAAATCTAGGACAAACTCCAGGATGTGTTGTCAGTTGTGAGGACAGACTCTTAAGCTAATTTGAGGTCTTCTTCACGTGGTGCAAAGAAAGCTCTGTTCTGTGAATCTCCATGGACACACCCTTAGGCATGGATTGTCCCATGTCATAAGTGGTCTTGGTGTTTCTAATCAAATCTTCTATAGTGCAAAAGCTGTTTCTTGGTTATTCCTACCTTTTACTTTTTGCTAATATACCTATATGGGTAGATTTTGCTGCTTCTCCTTCTCTTTCTCCTTCTCCTTCTTCTTTGAAATGAATTCTACTCCAGGATCTGAGCAGTCCAAAATAGCCAACAATAGTCTCAAGTAACTATTGAGAAAAACTGGACAGTTTCAATGCATTAGTTACTTTTTTCATCACACTGACAGATGCCTGGCATAAACAACTTAAAAAGGAGGAAAGATTTTTCTTGGTTTGCGGTTTCAGAATTGTCATCCATCATGGCTGGATAAGTATAGTAGAACAGAGCGATTCACATCCTTGTGGACAGAAAGCAGAGACAAGGGAACTGCGGGGAGAGACCAGGGCAAGATATACCCACAAGGTTGTGCCCCAGTGACCTAGTTTCCTCCAACTAGGCCCCACTCTTACCATCTCCCAATTATGCCATCATGTTAGGAAGTCTATCATTAATCCATTCATTAGGTCAGAACCCTCCTGATCTAATCATCTCTGGAAATGCCATCATGGACCCATCTAGAGGGGTGTCTTTACTAATCTCCTAGGTAGGTCTCAGTCCAGTCAAGTTGACACTGAAGGTTAACCATCACACTCAGTAATGTCCTGATTCATTTCTCTCTGTTTTGGGCCATGAAAATAGGCAGAGGAAGTCACGGTCTACTCTCTCAAGGCAGAATTTTCATCCTCCTTGTTCTCCTTCTTCATGAATTCCTCCCTCTTTTTGTCCAGTTCAATTCATGAAGGTCTGCTCTACGTCCTACCTCCTATTTCTAGTCTGGTAACATTTACATTTCATAGGGAATCTTATTCCTTTTATTACTAAATGAAATCAACTACTTTATTCATTCAGAGTAGAAAAGGAAAAGAAACAAGTTTTGAATCTAAAAAATTAAAAACTGCATGAATAGAGCAAAAAATTTCAAAGATAAAGTCAGACATCAGCATTAGATATGGAACTATGAATTATTACTAAAGTATAATGTGGTTAAAACTATAATGGAAAAATTAACATATTATATTTCAATTTTAAACTACTGTACTTAACAAGAATAATACATTCAAGTTCTGGGAGTGTGACTTAAGTGGTATACCACCTGCCTAGTGAGAGCTAGGTCCTGAGCAAAAATTTCAGTACCAGAATTTGAATACCACATTTAAATGGCTAACATATTTCAACATCTACCTACAAGAGTAAATATTTATAATATGATAGACGAAGGGATAAAATTTTAATATAGAACACACTCTTACAAACCAGTAAGAAAAAGAACACCTCATGTAAATAAGCAAAGGATAGGGATAAATAGTTGCAAGAGAAGAAACACAAGTGGCTCACATGCCTATGGAAAAAACATATAACATTACTAGCAATCAAACCAATTCAGACTTCAGTCAATGAGCAGTTTGTTTGCTTTGTTTTTGTTTGGGGTTTTTTTGGTTGTTTTTGGTGGGGGAGGATTTGGTGGTCTAGGGTTTGAACTCAGGGCCTCATGCAGGTGCTCTACCACTTGAGCTGTGTTTCTAGCCAGCCCTGATATTTGTTTAGAAATTTGAAAAAAATTGAAAAGATAATACTTAATCTCAATGAAGGGTCAGGAAAATAACCATTCATGCTCTGGTGAAAGTTGAGTTTGGGTCAGAAGGCAATTGTCAGAGGCACGCTGAGAGGCAATTGGTTCAAGAGGCTTTAAAGTGCCTCTTTTCTTTTCGTTTTTTTTTTAATTAACCTTTTATTTTTTGTATGATGCATACAATGCTTGGGTCATTTTCCCCCGCTGCCCACCCCACCCCCTCTCCTCCCCCCCACCCCTTGATACCCGCAGAAACATTTTGCCCTTATCTCTAATTTTGTTGAAGAGAGAGTATAAGCAGAATGGGAAGGAACAAGGGTTTTTCCTCAGTTGAGATATAAGGATAGCTATACAGGGAGTTTGGACTCACATTAATTTCCTGTGGCATGTGTATTACCTTCTAGGGTTAATTCACATTAATTTCCTGTGCATGTGTATTACCTTCTAGGTTAATTCTTCTTGATCTAACCTTTTCTCTAGTTCTGGTCCCCTTTTCCCTATTGCCTTAGTTGCTTTTTAAGTTATCTGCTTTAGTTTCTCTGCGTTGAGGGGCAACAAATGCTAGCTAGTTTTTTTAGGTGTTTACGCTATCCTCACACCTCCCTTTGTGCTCTCACTTTTTCATGTGATCAAAGTCCAGTCCCTTGTTGTGTTTGCCCTTGATCTAATGTCCGCATATGAGGGGAGGACTAACGATTTTTGGTCTTTTGGGCCAGGCTAACCTCACTCAGAATGAATGTTTCTCCAATTCTATCCATTTACCAGCGAATGATAACATTTTGTTCTCTTCAGGCTTGCATAAAATTCCATTGTGTATACGAATACCAATTTTCTTGATCCATTTGTGCGTAGGTCTGTTTTCCATAACTTGTCTGTTCCATAACTTGGCGATTGTGAATAGTGCTGCACTAACATGGGTAATGCAGGTGCTCTGGAGTTAACCTGTGTCACAGTCTTTTGGTTATCCCCAAGAGGATACCCCATTTTTTGATCATTCGTCAGTAGTGGGGCATCTTGGTGTTTCATAACTTGGGTATTGTGAATAGTGCTGCAATAAACATACACGTGGTGCAGGTGCCTCTGGAGTGGCCTGTGTTACAGTCCTTTTGGGTACATCCGCCAAGAGTGATATTGCTGGAATAAATGGTAAGATCAATGTTTAGCTTTTTTAAGTAAGCCTCCAAATTTTTTTCGGCAGAGTGGTTGTACTAGTTTAGCATTCTCCCACCAACAGTGTAAGAGGGTTCCTTTTTCCCCGCATCCTCACTATCACCTGTTGGTGGTGGTGTTGCTAATGATGGCTATTCTAACAGGGTGAGGTGGAATCTTGTGTGGTTTTAATTTGCATTTCCTTTATTGCTAGAGATGGTGAGCATTTTTTCATGTTTTTTTGGCCATTTGAATTTCTTCTTTTGAGAAAGTTCTGTTTAGTTCACTTGCCTATTTCTTTATTGGTTTCATTATTTTGGTGAATTTAGTTTTTTAAGTTCCCATATTATTCTGGTTGTCAGTCCTTTGGTCTGATGGTAGCTGCACAATTTTCTCCCACTCTGGGGTGTTCTCTTCAGTTAGAGACCATTTATTTTGTTGAGCAGAAGCTTTTTAGTTTTATGAAGTCCCATTTATCTATGCTATCTCTTAGTTGCTGTGCTGCTGGGGTTCCATTGAGAAAGTTCTTACCTATACCTACTAACTCCAGAGTATTTCCTACTCTTTCCTGTATCAACTTTAGAAGGAAGTGCTTCTCTTTCAATCCACCAAACCCATTTCATTCAGCAAATATTTTTGAGGGTCTACAATGTGCCCTTCTAGTTACTAGAACCTGAATTTCTAAATCTATGTGAAAGAAATAATCAGATACCTGCATGATCACTTACAAGGGTGTTATTGATGACTATAATAGTGAAATACCGAAAGCAAGTTAAATGTCAAATGGTACGAATTTAGTTAAGCAAATTTCAGTACTCCATGTGGTAAAATGCTTGACAGCTATTAACAACAGAGGGAAAATGCTCATAAGATATAGAGTGAAAAGGGCTGGTGACAGATTAATATATACAGATCAATTCCAATGTCATTTACATACACAAATGATAAACAAAAAATGATAGTAAAATTAAAAAATAAATACAAGTGAGTAGAAAAAATTTTAGTTTGTATACTCCCACCCACCAAAAAAGTTTCCATTTGATTGTGGGTTACTTGGAATGTTTTTAATATACTTCATATTGTTTTACTATGGTAAACATTAAATATAATTACTAGCATATGGTTTTTTTAATTATTAAAAGTAGTTTCCTGAGAACAAGATATATGGATTTGCACATCATAATTGACCCATGCAGCTCACTAAGAGAGAAATAGAAAGTTCTTTGCTATTTGCCGTACTTAGCACTGAGTTTAATGAACACAACACTGAGGATTTAGAGCTAATGATATAAATTTAAATTTGTTTCTCATTTAAATTTAAAATTGTGTCTGATCCTCAGGTCAAGATTTTACAGACATAATGCAAGCGCTCCAGCAGCTTATTGTGGTGACACAGGTTCACATCATGTTCTCTTAGCAAGATACTGGTATCCCTTCACCAATATTATTGCCTGTGAGCAATTGAATGCATTATTACCCACACATCATAAAGACCCTCAGCCATCACTGTGAGGACCCCAGAACAATAAACATGAACCTGTTCTGATGAGTGGAATCTTCTGTCACATTTCTTCTAACATTATTCTTGGAAGAAAGAACAATTTAGCCAAAAAGCGATACACATACACAGATGACTCAAAAATGGGTGAGAGAAGCCCAACAAAAGCCCCCCTTTGTCAGCCTATGACTCCTAAGTGATCCACAATAATATTGTAAGGAAGGTAAACTAGAAGGCTTGGGGTATCATTAACTTGGATGTCTAAGAAGCCACCATGCTCTTCATCATTGTTTTCCTTGTTCCATTGTGACAGTCAAGCACTGGGCTGGCAGGAAGTAGACGTGACAGAAGACGGTCATATATTTCTATCTCCAGATGAACTGTGCATTTCAAAATGGTGTCACCCAATCCTGATGTGTGCTTGTTGTTCTTTCCCCAGAATGTCGTGTGGTGAAATCCACTTCTTACACCAAAATAGCTTCATCATCCCGGAGGAGCACCACCAAGAGCCCAGGTCCTTCCCGGCGCAGCAAGTCCCCGGCTTCCACCAGCTCAGGTAAAGCAAGGAGATGCTAAACAACTGTCTGGTTTCTGAAGCAGTTGGAGCAGAGGGTGTGTGAAGCCAGAGCGTGAGGTTTGGAGCTAGTGTCGATTCCGGTTTATAATTTTAGAACATGTTAGAGCAGCTGAACAGATTTACCAGAGTCTAGCGTGTTGGCTGTAAGAAAAAACATCAAGCTTGGAATAATGTACTTAGTGAGACTCAGGAAAGCCAGATTTACCCACAAATGGAAGTGCTCCACCTACTGTTATTGTTTCTACCACGAAAGTTCTCTCAGGCATTTATTCTGCCTAGGTCTGGCTTAGGGAGTGTTTCTGATTTGTCTTTGCTAAGCTTGTATATAACACAGTTGTGACTCTGGCCTCAGTTTTCTTTCCTGGCTCTGAAATTCAAAGCAGTGATGTTAAGAGGGTGGAACAGGTACATCCCTGCAATGACCCTTGCTGGGCCCAACTCACAGTGGCTGGTGCTGCCTTTGAAGTGGGCTCAGCTCACACAGGATGAAAATCTTAGCCCTGCCTTTCTCTCTTTTGGTCTTAGAACTGATATGAGTCAGTTACAAGGTGTCATTATTTTTGGGGGGGGTGTCAAATATAAGGTTTGTTTCACTATGGCAGGGAATTATTTATTGAATGATTGAAAAACTGTTGAATGGGAATTATCAATTGATGCAAACCACAAAGCATTTGTTCCCTGATTTGATGATTTGATGAAAAATACAAAGATCATTAGGGCCTAAATGGAGGCCTTCTCTAACTCAACAGTGTGGCCCCAGGAATGGGAAGTGAGCAAAGCTCTAAGTTGGGGCTGTTCAAGAAGGTGGATAGCTAGACTACCCAGCCCATCTTGGTTCTCTAAGACTCACCTTCCTTGAGGAGCTTTTCCTACTACTGTTATTTCCTAGTCAGGTCTACAAGGACCACCTTCTCTTTAATACTCATTCTAAAGGTGACAACAATGATGCAGCCACTGCCCCGTTCCCAATCATGGCTACAACATAGCCAGTCAGGACTATGGACTGGCTCAGAACATGACTGGCACTTGTAATGCAGCTCATTAGATTAAGGGTGGGCAAATAACTCCCTCCTAATGACACAGCCCATCTAGATTGGATGCAAACCTAAAATAAGATTTTAAAGTGTAAGGTAGTGAGACTCAAAGCTTGGAATTACATGGGAACTTTGTAAAGTTTGTCATCCTGAGCCTTCAGGTGTCACTAAGTAGACAGACCTGTGCTTTAGTAAGGCTCCAGGAGATTCTGGTCAGAGAGTCCCAGGGCCAGTGAAATGTGAAATTATTTCACATTTCAAGAAATAATGGGTGTGAGGGCAGTGGCTCTCATTCTAGCAGCATCACCACCTACCTGAGCACAGGTCGGCCATGCAAAATCTCAGACCTTTCCCAGATCCACTAAATCAGAAACTCTCGAGTGGTGCCCAGTAGGCTGGGGTTTCCCAAGCCCACCAAGTACATCAGGTGATTCTTATGTTTGCCCAAGTTTGAGAACTACTGGATTGTTAATAACAGACAGGAAATAAATACAGAAAGTCATTCGACTCAGAGGAAAGACATGGCTTTTCCATCTTCCTTCATTAGCCTCCCAGAGATGAATTCCTTTCCACCTCCATGCTTGCCTCCAAGTAGCCCTGTCCATTTTTAACCCTTGCCACCCAAGATCCTAGATCTGCTCTTTAAAGTGTAGACCAAGAGATCAATGAGCAAAGGAGAGTGCTAGGCACCAACTCGCTATTCCACTTCCATCTGGTGGCCTGACAACAAAGAATCAGACACCAGAGAGAATTTCTGTGTGGAGGTCATCCCTTCTCTGGATTACTAAAGAAAGTCTCTCCCTTCCAGAGAGACAGCCCACCCAGAGAAAGGACCACCACAAAATGACTACATCTAAAACTCCCCTGGAAGATTTGAGTTTGTCCACTAACCTGCTGACAGATTAAAATTGAACTGTGTGAAGAATGTTCATTCTTAGCCAATGAGTATCCTTCATCTCCTATAACCAAACCTGAACTGTAGGATGAATCCCCAGTGAGCACTGAGGAGAAGAAGGGCAACAGTCAGCCTGTTGCCCCTAAAATTTTGGCTATTTAATATAATCATGGAAGAATGTGAAGGAGAGAAGTCCCACAAAATACTGAAACATTATCAATGACATTAAAATCATCAATATGGGGAGCAGAGTGGCTCAAGTGGTAAGAGCTCCTGCCTTGCAAGCTTGAGGCCCTGAGTTCAAGCCCCAGTGCTGCCAGGAGCTGGGATGGGGGGTGTGGGGGGTGGAGAAAGAAAAAGAAAAACAATATTAAAAAGTAAAATTAGTCCCCAACCCAAACCAACTTTGACATTGACAAATTTTACTTAATCTTTCCTTACTTTTTCCTCTTAGTAGTACAAATAAAGAAAAGGGGAGACATCTAACAATGGTTATCAGTCTAATTCTTGCCTTTTACATTTTAGCTATTGCAAGTAAAGCAGTACTACATTTCTTGTTTGTATGTTTACAGAGCAGTCAGTGTCACAAATGTGTGACTATGCCAATGACTTCAAAACCACTCCCATTCCCTGAGACCTGAGCCCTGGGTGTACAAGGTCCAGTGGTGTCACAATTCTCATCAGGCTAGTGTGGCTGCAGGATGTCAGAGAAGCCCCTCCTCCAGGGCCCCTCCATTACTGTAGCCCAGGCATCCCATCCCTACTCAACTGCACCCCTTAAAACCAGTGGACAGGACACTGACTTGTGTCTATATCGTAGCACCATGAACCTGATTTTTGAACATTAAAGAATCTTCCTTTTTCCCTTTAATACTAAAGTTTGAAATTATTTCTACTTCTGCTTTTTAATTTCCATTTCCAGAATGCATCATCCTACATTATTTGGAAAATTAAGATTTACTCAGTTTTGTGTTTTGTTTTGGATGGTACTGGGGTTTGAACTCAAAGTGTTGCGCTTGCTAGGCAGACACTCTACTACTTGAGCCATACCTCCAGCCTTTTTTGCCCAGTTTTTAAGGCCACATTGCTATTAACAACAACAGTATAATATGTTAGCTTTCTGTTACTGTAACAAAACACTTGAGGCAATCAGCTTTGAAAAGGGAAAGGCACTTTGGCTCACTGTTTTGGAGATTTCAGTCCATAGTTGGTTATCCCTATTGCTTCTGAGCATGTGGCAAGGCAGTACATCATGGTGGGAGCACATGGCAGAGGAAGGTATTCGAAAGAGAGAGAGAGAGAAGAGTTTTCCTACAATCCCCTTCAAGGGCACACCTTTAGTGACCTAACTTCCTTCTACTAAGCCTCAGTCTTAAAGGTTCTACCACCTCCCAACAATGCCATGGGTTGATGACCAAACCTTTAACACATGGACTTTCAAGGGACACTTATCCAAATCATAGCATATGGTTAACTTATAATTAAATGAAACAGCATAGTTATAGAAGACTTTTATCTTTGACCCTCCCAACAATACCAACAATATGCAAGTATGACAAGATATTATTATAGTATTTGCAGAAATGAGGAACCAGAGGTGGGACTGAGGTGACTGCTCTGGCCAGAGTTACAGAGTTGAGCAGCAGTGCAAGGCTGGTACCTGGGGCTCCCAGCACTCTAGCCATACCAGGCTGGCAGAACTTGATAGCGGCTTCTTCACCTGCACTTACAAAACTCTTGATCTCCAGGAAATAGTCTAGTAACTGGTTTGAGATTGCCATTTACCCAGTTTTAGCTTACAACATAAGCTAAGTATTAGTTCTCCAGCATCAGCATCCTAGAATAATTCATCCCAACTTCATAATGTATGCCAGTGGTGGACAGAAACTCTCCTTTGTACATCAGCATTAGTGCAAAAACAAGAATCTTCAGTCAATTTTCCATCTATCCCTTACCGATTCCGCTTCTCAGGACTAAAAGAAGTTAAAAGTGATTTATTAATGTAAGGTGTCCATTTACACATTCAGAAACATCAGTTGTAGCCTATTAGTGTTGAGCAGCTGCTAGTGTGCTAATGACACAGAGATGAAAGACAAGATCCCCTACTCAAAGAAGCTCAGAGGTCAAGGCTCCTTAAATAATTTATTGATCACATAATTCACATAAGTGTCCAATTATTCTTAGCCTCTGTTAGAGAAGGGGCCCAAAGCAGCCAAGTAGAGCTAGAAGAAAAAGAAAACAGAAACCTTAATATCACACAAAAAGAATATCAAGCCCCCAGATAATTGCATGCTGAGACTCTGAATGGAGAAGCACTAAGTATTGGAAAAATAGTTTTTAGTTTCTCTTAAAATAACAATAATATACAAGTATTTAGTATAGTTGATTATACATATGTCTTTGGAACACTGACATCTTATAAAACATGTAATTTAAACATGAAGTTCTTGTAAGTAAATTCTTTTTCTGCACAGAGAAGTTATAATAAAATAACTCCAAAGATGAGAATGTAATATGCAGTAATTTGATTTCTATAAAGACCAATAAAGCTTAGTTTTGCTGTATATTGTTTTCTTAATATGAAAAACATAAGGAAACCATGTTTACCTATCTTGAAGTTTCATTGCTGCTGACCACCTAAAACTTAGAAATTTCACAATTTTGACCACTTCTTCTTGAATCCCTTAGAAGATCTTTGGCTTTTCTGGTTAATTTTAGAGTTGTTATTCCCATGTACATACATAGCCAACTTCTTCTCATAGAGACATTCTCTACTTAGAATCTCTTCCTAAGAAGCCTTTGTAAACATAACTGAGTTACACACATCAGTTCAAGTATGCAATTTCTTGACCTTCAGAAGCCTATGGTCTAAAGTACAGTTGTTCTCTGTGTCTGCAGGTTTCATTTAACCAACCATGGATCAAAAATACTCATAAAAAATTGTGTCTATATTAAACATACACATTTTTGTCTCATTCCCTAAACAATAGATTATGACAACTGTTTGTTATTTATATTAAATTAAGTATTATAAGTAATCTAGAGACAAT